ATCAGCGAGATATGCAAATTAACCCAACCAAGATGGCGGCCGGCAGCCATGGAGCTGGAATGAGCAGGAGGCTTGCTTGCTCCAGCGATGGAGGAAGCCAAGGTTCCCTGTCTGCCGCGGCCGGCTCTAAGCTACACTCAAAGCAACAAAGTTTCAATTATAGAAGGTAAATAAACCCCAGATACCTGCTTTCAGCCAGCCCTGGCCATGGAACTGGAGCCTTGGGTTGCCCCTGGCGATGGAGGAAGCCAAGCTCTGGCCGGCTCTGAGCTCTACTCCAGGCTACAAAGTTTCAATTATAGAAGGTAAATAAATCCCAGGAAAAAAAAAGAAAAAAAGGAGAGGCTGGGAGCTTCTGTCGCTGGGGAGGCTTGGCCAGCCTGAAAACGGCCCTCAGCCCTTCACCCAGACTGGCCAGGCACCCCAGTGGGGACCCCCCACCCTAAAGTGGGTGTCGCCAGCCTGAAAACAGCCATCAACCCCTCACCCAGGCTGGTCAGGCACCCCAGTGGCACCCCAGTGGGGACCCCCACCCTGAAGGGCAAACCAGCCAGCCCCCACCCATGCACCAGGCCTCTATCCTATATAATAAAAGGGTAATATGCAAACTGACCCTAACAGCAGAAAGACTGGGAATGACTGGTCACTATGACATACACTGACCACCAGGGGGCAGATGTTCAATGCAGGAGCTGCCCCCTGGTGGTCAGTGCGCTCCCACAGGGGGAGTTCTGCTCAGCCACAAGCCAGGTTGACAGCTGCCAGTACAGCGGTGGTGGTGGGAGCCTCTCCCGCCTCCTCAGCAGCGCTAAGGATGTCAGACTGCAGCTTAGGCCTGCTCTCCACTGGCAAATGGACATCCCCCGAGGGCTCCCGGGCTGCCAGAGGGATATCTGATTGCCAGCTTATGCCCAATCCCCCGGGGAGCAGCCCTAAACCAGCAGGTGGTCATCCCCCGAGGGGTCCCAGACTGCGAGAGGGCACAGGCCGGGCTGAGGGACCCGCCCCCCATGCACAAATTTTTGTGCACTGGGCCTCTAGTGTTATATAAGATATTTGATTTACTATCCTGCTGAATATGTTTGTGTCCACATTCATGAGGGATGTTAATCTATAAATTTTTCTTTCTGTAGCAGAAAATTTATTTAAACTAAAAAACAAACATAAAAAACAAAAAACACCTTTGACTGACAGTTATGCCAAATATAGGATTCTTTTACAGGTTGACAGTTTTATTATTTTAACGCTTTTAATACATTGGCTCACTGCATCATGGCCTCCAAAGTTCTTCATGAGAAATCTACCCTTATTCTTACTGAGGATCCCTTGTATGTGACGAGTTCATTCTCTCTTGCTGTTTCAAGATACTTTGTCTTTTGAAAGTGTGATTATAATGTGTCTCAGTGTGGGTCTCATTGAGTTAATCTTGCCTGAGTTAATTAAACTTCTTGGATATTTATATTCACGTTTTTCATCAAATTTGGGAATGTGGTAACTCTGGAAATCAGATTCTTCCCTTTCTGTGAGGCTTTCCGGGTTCTGAATTATTTTTATTTATTGTCTTTCTTTTTTTTATTATTATAGGCTGTCTCTGGGCCAACAATGAGCCTGCTGTGTAAACTAAGGTCTTTTCAGGTTTCACCAGAGCCTTTTCCTGTATGACCACTTTCTAATTTTCCCTGTAGATGCAGTTGTTTTTTTAATGTTTGGTCCCTAAAAGGAAATAAACAGGAAAAATGAAGTGGGGGAAGGAGAAGAGCACTGGCTCTTTAAATCTCATGGTAGTCATTTGGGGGGAGTGAGGCCTAGCTTGCAACAAAGCAGGAGAGGCAAGAACAATGGTTGCCTGCCTCTTTGTTTGCAAGTGTGTATCAGATGAAGCAATTATCTATCAGAGCACAGATCCCCAAAAGTTAAAGGACAAGGTCTTTTTTTGACCATCCTAGCTCCCGCAAGCTGTTGTAAGCTACTCCTGAAACAGGGATACAGCTGGCTCCATGTGACTGGGGGGGTAGGGGGGGGGGTGGTACGGGTAGCAGCTACTGTGCTAAGATCTGAAAATTAACCATAATTTACCTTCCAAGTCTCCCCATGAAACTTGCAAGCCTTCAACAGACTCAAGAGTTCCAAATTAGTTACAGATTCAGGCAGTGCAATTGTTGTCTAGGTAGGCAGTTATGATTCCTGATGCTTCTTATTATGCCATCTTCCCAGAATCCTCCCTCAATTATCTTTTAAATTAAAAAAAAAAAAAGGAGAAAGTCATGTGTCCACATAATTACCACTGTAGACACAAGTTTCCACCTGGTATCATTTTCCTCAAGTCTGAAGGATTTCCTTTACCATTTCATAAAACAGAAATCCAGGAGGCAATTAGTCTCCAGCAATGGTCCTCAACTCCAGCTGCACAAACCATATATATATTTATATATATATTCACCTAAGAAGCTTTAAAAACAAATAAAAAACAGTATCTAGAGTCTCTAGACCCACCCCAGTCCCAGCCCCAACAGAGATTTTAAAATTGGTGTGGGGTAAGTCAAGGCATCTGTATTTTCTTCAAAGCTTCCTAAGCTATTTTATTGAGCATCCAGGGTTGAGAACTTGTGATGCATACCTAGGCATAGTGAAACCACAGAACAGAAATAAAGAGAAAATATTAAGAATAACTACAGAGAAAACTATCTACAAAGTAATAACATAAACTGACAATAGACTTTTCAACAATAGAAGCCAAAAGAGTAAAACAGTACATTCAAAGTGCTGAGAGAAAATAACTATCAACCTAGAATTCTAAATAGCTATCATTCAATAGCTATAGTGAAGTGGACATTTTTAGTCAGTGTGAGAGGTTACCATTTACAGAGCTCTGCTGAAACAGCTACTAAAGAGGATATGCGCTTCAGGAAAAGAAACAATGAACTTAGGAAATGGGATACAAGAAGAAATTCAAAATACAAAAACAAAAACTGCCGCCTGCTAAACCTAGATCTCATACTTCTTTCTTAAGTAATCAATCAACCAAGACCAAAAAGACTACCTGACCTCAATCTTTAAAATAAGAACAAACATATAGGCCCTACCCTCGATATACTATAACTCTGGGGAATAAGGGCAGAATTTTTTTTTTAAGCCCACCAGATCAAAAGGTTTAAGAACTTCATATTCTAGCTTTTCCTTTATCCAGTAGTTCTGAGTATGGTTCCTCAAATGGCAGCATCACCTTTACCTGGGAACTTGCAGAAATGCAAATTATCAGGACCGACCCTTGATCTAATAAATTAGAAATTCTAGGGATGAACTCAGCAATCAGGCTTTATTGAACTAGCCCTCTAGGTGATTTGGATGCCAGCTCAAGTTTGAGAAAGCTGATTTAGTCTCATGCCCGTATTACATGGTCCATACTTCTACATGAACAAATCCTATGCTGTTGCTCTGCCTACAAAATCTTTCCATTTAGTCCTCTAGAGCAAGCATGTCAAACTCGCTGTGAGTTTGACATGCTTCCTTCAGAGCAATGTATCATGGCTGACCAATTTCCATATATTTTTAATTTCTTCATTCAATTTTCTTTTCATCTTTTGCCTTAACTAAACCTGGTCCACCTCTCTCAGTGTGTCCTCACATAAAGGCTGTTCACTTTCCCAAACCCCATGTATCTCAGGGTCTGGAAATTGAGGTCCACTTGTTCCCTAACTCCCTATAACTCCAAAAACATCTAGATAAAAATCTCACCTTTTCTGAGACTCTCCATTCTCATGGCTTCAGCTGCCAATGTGTATGATATTCACTTCCAAATGTCTCTCACAATGCTGAGACCAGAAGAACCCACTATCTACCTGACACTTCCATCTGGATGTTCCAGAGAAAGTCAAATTCAATAATAAAAATCCGAACCTGCTATCTTGTCCAATTCTGGTCTTCCTATATTTTCTAATATAAAGAGTGGCATCACCATCTATTCAGTTTTCCAAGACCAAAACCTGGAAATCATCAATGAAATCTCTTATTCAAACATTAATCACCAACAGTAATCACCAACAACGATCACTTTCACCTTCTGTAAGTTCTCTAATTCTCTCCGTCATAATTGTTACTGCTACTGTATAAATAGTCTCTTAACGGCTCTCTCTCCCTCCAGTGTTACACTTTCCCAACTTGTTTTACAGTCTCCAGTCTCCAAATTTCAAAACTATTTTTAAATCAAGTGGTACCTTATGGGATGTGAATTACGTTTCAATGTTTAAAAAAAATATATTTTTTATTGATAATATTATAGATATTTCCCATTTTCCTTCCCTTTATCCCCCTCCTCTCAGCCCCTCCCCTCCCCACAAGGTATGTTTCAATTTTTAAAAATCATGTTGGCATATTAAAATTTTAACACTTCTATTCTAAATCCATCATCACTCAATACTACAAGAGTTTGCACCTAGTTCTTTTACTCAATTGTGAAGGGTCACCAACTTATTGATAGCCTTATCACAACTGTGTAGCACACAGAACATCAAACTAAAAAGGAATTATCAAATTAAACCCAAATTAATCCTTAAAATTTATGAGAACTATAACTCTTAATTTCACATATATGAACTTTACTGCAATAAATTTTAGTTTTTGTTATACATAAACTAGATGCCCGGTGCACGAAATTTGTGCACGGGTAGGGTCCCTAGGCCTGGTCAGCAATCAGGGCCGATCGGGGCCTTCCGGTTGCCAGCCGGGACCTCCCCTCCCCAGCTGCCGGCTGGGGCCTTCCTTCATTCTGCGCCATCCCCTGGTGGTCAGTGCACATCATAGTGAGCGATCAAACTCCGGTCTCCCTGTCAAACTCCTGAAGGGATACTTTGCATATTAGCCTTTTATATATATAGGTAGTGGAACTTCAACATGTTTATAAGATGAGCAAAATAAGAGCACTCTAAAAAATTGGGGGGAAACCCATGGAGAAAAAAAACATTTCAGATTTTGAAAAGGAAAAAAAAAAAAAGAAAACTCACCATACACACCTATAGAAGGACTAGAATTGTTCATGGTAAAAGGTCCGTTAATGATGCCAGAAGAAAGAAGCTCATCAGATCCCCGCTGAAAGGCAAGAGTAATATTCTGTTAATAAAACAAATCTCAAATAACGGTCCATATTTACTACTAAAAACATAAAAGTCAGTAAATTACTTCACCTGAATATCAAGGCATTTAAGGGGAAGTACTCAAGAATCACAAAGGCTAAAGGTTGGAAGTGAACTTTATAGAAAAGAAAAATTACTGAATATCTACATGACAGTTATTGGCTGCCTCCTGCACACCCCACACTGGGGATGGAGCCCGCAACCCAGGCATGTGCCCTTGGCCGGAATCGAACCTGGGACCCTTCAGTCCGAAGGCCGATGCTCTATCTACTGAGCCAAGCCAGCTAGGGCTGTAGTATATTTTTAATTACACTTAGTACATTAAGAATATTTAGTATATTAAGTACGTTAAGTTTCTGTAATATATGTGAATGCAAATATTTTGTGCAGCACTCCCTAATAATTCTGGTTTTCTGATACCTTCTTTTTTAGGTTGAACACAAAGATGTAATTTATTTCTATATTGGCCAAGTTCTTTTATTCACTGATTTTTTCCATCCATTAATCTTCAAAATGATCTTTAATGTGTACTATTTCTTAAACTACTATTTAAGTAAATACTTACTCTATTTTTCAGGTAAGAGTTTTGACCAATTCCAAACCTGAATGGTCAATGGCAAAGGAAAAGTCAGATAGACTTTTCATTATAACCCTAAGATCTATTACCAAGATTTAAGTTTACATTTAAGAAAGATAATAAATACTATGCACAGCCCTAGCCAGTTTTGTTTGGTGGATAGAACACTGGTCCACGGACTGAAGGGTCCAGGGTTCAATTCCGGTCAAGGGCATGTACCTCGGTTGCAAGCGGCAACCAATCGATGTGTCTCTCTCACAATGATGTTTCTCTCTATCTTTCCATCTCCCTTCCCTTCTCTCTAAAAATCAATGGAAAAATATCCTTAGGTGAGGATTAACAACAACAAAAATACTATGGACAGTGTTAAAACTAACCTATTTAAAATGTTACTATTTGCTTACCTTGGTCAATTTTTAAGAAGAAATATTTTGGTCTACTAGATGATAAAACTTAATCCCCAAACTATCCTACAAATATTAGAGAAGCAAAAGTGCCACAACATATATTTAATGTTTAGATGTAAGTACCTCTTCTGTAAGGAACAACTTCAGTTTTTGCTGAAGAAAGGCAAACTACTAACGTGTTTGCTTAATAGAAACACAATTATTTAAACAATTTCTGTACTACACATCTAGAAATTATTCTCTTTGGTTCTTTCGCTAGAAGTTTATAGAGACAGCTTGGGACAAGAGAAAGAAATTAAGTAAGCTCTAAGATAAAATAAAACTGAAACTCTTAAATTTCAGAAAGATGGAAATTATAGCCTCACATATTCCTGATAATATCTGAGAAATAGTGATGTTGGTAGCCAAAGATAGTTGTTTACTGACTTCCTACGGATATGGAAAGGTGAATTTTTGCAGTTTTAAATGTAGTAAAAATTTTAAATATGCCCAACATGTTTTTATATTAGAAAACAGATATACCTTCTATACATATGTGAATTTAGTATCAATATTTCTATATGTAAATTGAGTTAATCTGATCTTAGAAACCACTTAGAGATCATTTTAGCTCTTTTCTAGACTTGAAGGAATATGTTAAAATGTCAACTAAACATTAATTCTAGGTGGTTTACAGATTGAAATGTAAAAAACAAAATAATAAAGACTCTAGAAAATAATGAAAATAGCTATCTTTATAATATTGGAGTAGGGAAAGATTTATTAAACAAGAAACAAAACCAATTATAAAGGAAAATATCAATAAACTAGACAACAATGAAATTCAGAATTTCATTTACAATAATATACAAATATTGAATCATTATGTTGTATACCTAATCTGAAACTAAAACATGTCAAATATATCTCAACTTTAAAAAATTTTATTTAACAAAAGACATTAGCGGATTAAAAAGGCAAGTCAAAGAGTGAGAGTAAATATCTTCACTATCTATACCCAACAAAAGATTTATATCCACAACTTACTAAGAAAAAAGGAGGAAAAACTCCCCACAAGGAATTAATAAGAAACAGTCAAGAATAACAGAACATGACAAGAGAACTGAAGAAGCACCTCAGAAATAAGATGGTAGACTTCATTACTATTCCAGAGTATTTGTGCCCTCTGCTTTTTCTGTGAAAAAACTATTCACCCCAACAATGGCCATGTGACTTTTAATGCCTCTTGCGAAAGGAGGACACCTCCCTGGTCTACTGACCCTGAGTATGGTTTTAAGATATGCCTTGGCCTATGGAATATGAATGGACATGACCTACACTAAATCCAAACAGAATCTTCAAAAGATAGTAGTTTTCTACTAGTTTTCCCCCTTTACCTCTGAAACAAGAATATATCCTAAACAGGGGCTGCTCTTTCAGCATGATTCCTAGAACAAAAACATGTATAGCTACGTAAGGACCACCAACATGGTAAGTAAATAAATGTATTTTTCTCAGCCACATTGAAATGACTAATACCATATCCAATAAACATATACCAAAAAAATGCCTAACCACTTTGGTCATCAGGGAAATGCAAGTTTAAACCACAACGAAATACTAGGATATTAAAAAGACTGAAATATCAAGTGTTGATAAGAATGTAAAGCGACAGAACTATTACATATTGGTAGAGGGAGTGTAAATTGGGACAACTTTGGAAAAATGACCCAATCTACTAAATTTTATTATATGGAATATCCTAGGATCCCTATGTATTTATTGTACTCCTATGGATACACACAAGAGATTGCCTGCTTATGTGCACCTAAACATCTGAGATTGTTCTCAGCAGCATTATTTCTACTAGCCAACTGGAAACAGCCTAATGGCATTAAGTATAAAATAGGTGAATAAACTTTTGTAAATGTATTCAACAATTTATAGCAAAGACAATGAACTACTGTTGCTCCACACAATAACATAAATGAATCTCACAAACATAAAAAGTCACAAAAGAATGTCCAGCCAGCATGGTTCAGTGATTGAGCATCAACCTGAGAACCAGGAGGTCAGGGCACATGCTCAGGTTGTGGGCTCTATCCCCAATAGGGGGCATGAAAGAGGCAGCCAATCAATGATTCGCTCTCATCATTGATGTTTCTCTCCCCCTCTCCCTCTCCTTCTCCCTCCCTCTATGAAATGAATAAAAATGTTTTTTTGTGTGTGTGTTTTTAAATATATTTTAATGATTTTTTACAGAGAGGAAGGGAGAAGGTTAGAGAGTTAGACACATCAATGAGAGAGAAACACTGATCAGCTGCCTCCTGCACACCCCCTACTGGGGATGTGCCCACAACCGAGGTACATGCCCTTGACCGGAATTGAACCCGGGACCCTTCAGTCCACAGGCTGACGCTCTATCCACTAAGCCAAACCGGTTAGGGCAATAAAAATGTTTTTTAAAAAAGGAATGCATGCTATTATTGCATTTAAAGAGAGTTCAAAATTATAGTCAAAACTAAATTATACATCGAAACTATATATCTAAATGCAAAAAATGGAAGTTGTATACCTTTCTCACACCATATACAAAAATTAACTCAAAAAGAGTGTATACCTAAATGTAAAACTATAAAACTCTCAGAAGGAAACACAAAGGTAAATGTTCATGGATTTGGGTTACAGAAGTGGTTTTTTAACACCAAAAGCACAAGTGACAAAAGAAAAAAAGATAAACAGATAAATTATACTTCATAAAAAATAAAATCTATTGTACTTCAAAGGACACAATCAAGAAAATGAAAAGATAAGTCAGAGAATTAGGGAAGATACTTGAAAATCTTGTAACTTACAAGGGACTAGTATTCAGAACATATAAATTCTTAAAACTCAATAATTAAAGACAAATAGCCCAATTTTTAAGAAGGCAATGATTTGAAAAGGTATTTCTCCAAAACAAGATGTACAAATAGCCAATGAACATATTAAAAGATGCTCAGCATTATTAATCATTAAAGGATATGCAGGAGAAACCAAGATGGCGGCATAGGTAAACACCTGAAATTGCTGTCTCGCACAACCACTTCAAAAATACAACTAAAAGACAAAACGGACATCATCCAGAACCACAGGAAGGCTGGCTGAGTGGAAATTCTACAACTAGAAGGAAAGAGAAAAGCACACTGAGACTCAGAGGAGGTGTGGAAGTAAAGTGCAGAGGTATGGAGGCGCACTCTAAAAGGGCTGGCAACTGAGGACAAGGTTGTCTTTTTCAAACGGGAGGGAGTCTCAAGCTCCCGATGGCTCTGAACTCCAGTTCAGGGAGAGTCTCTGGGGACCCAGACTCATACGGGGAGAAACTGGACTGTCTGGCATTGGGTGGAACTCAAGGGCAGCTTTCTCTCAGAGGTGCTTGCAACCATTACGGCGGGACACTGAGACCCAGGGCCTCTTAGGGCAGGGCTGAAGATCAGCCCTAGCTGTTTGCTCCACCCTGTTGATTCCCTGAGACCCTGCCCCACCCAAACTGTGCACAGAGGCTTTTGCATATGAATGGCCTGGCCCTTTGCAATCTAAAATTACCTAACGAACTGCATCTGGGTCAGAGAGACCCCGAACATCCAAAAGAAGTCCCACGGCCCCACAGCAGCTTGCATTGCTTCACAGCTGGGCCTCATCTGGGCACCTCCAAACCCCAAACAAAGAAGAAGAATCTGCAGATCTCTCCGTACCTCCTGCTGGGTAGCCTCAGGCAGAGGATAAATTAGCACCTCCTTAGATCCAAGAACCAGTGTACCCAGTGGGCAGAGTGGGACCATCCAGATTACAACTCCTCAGATCCATAAGGGACACACTAAGGGAGCAGACTCAGTGAGCACCAAAGCTCCACTGAAGCAAGTCTTGCCCCATAAGGGTGTCT